TAGTTTCATTCTCATAAATAAATATTGTTTTGCAATATTTGAATAAGCTACCAAGATATATATCAGGAACAAATCAGCCAAACTACTTCTAATTTCATCAAGCATCAGAGCTCTTTTTAAGCAGAGCACTTTTGTAGATAGAAGCCAGCTGGTATTGGAAACAATTAAAATGTCTGGGGTTCTTCCTTGATTTGAATGGCTTCTTTAGATGTGGAATATAACCATATTAACTAAGGGAAATAAAATGATTGCCAGTTTGTTTTCTTCTTACCACATCTATAGTAGGCCCCTTTACTAACATATGTTTTTAACTATTTCAATTTTAGACAATATCTAAAGAATTACCAAGGATTATAAGTCTTAGGTACAGTCTAAATTTAACTAACAGTTCACGTTGGTATTTTAAATGTTTTTACTTGAGATGATGGACCACGCCCTGTCATTCTTTGGGATCCCTCCTTGGCTCAGACAGACAATGAGACACACTCTTCACTGAGACTCACCTGGGAAGCCTACAAAAAGCAACTAAAAGAAAAGTGCTGGCAAAATGACAAAGTACCCAAAGCAGAATGGAGATGTACAGATATTCATTACCATGAATGGTCCAAGATGGCACTTCTTGATTTTCTTTTACAGGTGAGAAAATTATGTCCAAAGAGATCTGTTGACAGTATATAAGTTGTTCAGCAGCACATTTTTTTAAAAGAAGAAAACCATTTTTTTATTTATATGACCAACTCACACAGTAATTTTATTAGAAATTCTTGTGGTTATTACAAGAAAAATGGTAATGAGGTGTTGGATTAAGTTTTAGAAGAGATGTTAAAACAATGGTGAACAACCTGTGACCTAAAGTTCCATTGATCTACAAACTTTTAATTTATAATGCCACACATCTATCTCTAATTGCACTTCTGACATTTGGTGGAGCTATTTCATATTCAACAACTGCAGGAGGTATCTGAGATGAACATTTTAGCCATTACTCAAGTTGTCTAAGTAACAGGTCAATTTACTCCATTCTTCTTTACTGGTACCCAGAGCTTTTTTTTGTCATAGAACGCCCAGAACGGAGTTCCGGCACCTTTTTTGGATGGAACCTTGTAAGGCAGGCAAGGTGGGTTGTATGACATGTGTGAGTTCTGGCACCTTTTTTTTTTTTTTTGCAAAAAAAGCACTGCTGGTACCCTTCTGTCATGTGATCTGTTAATTAGGCTATCTCCATCTGGAATTCAGTACTTGCAAGTGTAATTGAACAGATTAATAGCATGTGTCTCTTTTGTGATTTGTTGCAAGTGGCAGTAGTGGAGAGAAGCATCCAAAGAGTCCAGTTCTGTCCTTATGGCCTGCAGTGTTAATAAGTAGTCCACGGAGCACAGAAAATAGCATGGCTACATAAAATCTAATAGAAAATCTGTACTTCATTCATTTGAGACAGAAGCAGAAGCATATATGTGGAAGAAATGGCTTCTTTTTTCCCATTTAAACTGACCGTCTGTGTAGCATAGAAAAAGTGCTTGTGTTTAAGAACTGGTCTACTACCTTTTAAAAAAACAAACACCTAAATTGATATATACAGTATAAGGTAATTTATGTAATGCCTGACTGATCCTTTATGAAGTCAGAAGGTGTAGAAGTGGCCTGAAGGGGCCAATAATATTTGGGCAGACCCTGGCTATTGACCACCTCATTACAGGTAATCCTCGACTTACAAGAGTTCATTTAGTGACTGAAGTTACAGCGGCACCGAAAAAGTGACTTATGACCATTTTTCACATGACTGTTGCAGCATCTCTGTGGTCACGTGATCAAAATTAAAATGCTTAGTAACTGACTCATATTTATGACAGTTGCAGTGATACCCTTTCGCAACCTTCTGACAAGCAAATCAATGGAGAAGCCAGATTCACTTAACAACTGTGTTATTAACTTAACAACTGCAGGGATTCACTTAACAACTGTGGCAAGAAAGTTTGTAAAATGGGGCAAAATTCACTTAAGAAATGTCTCGCTTAACAACAGAAATGTTGGGCTCAATTGGGGTCGTAAGTCAAGGATTACCTGTATTCACATTGTTGTGGAAGCATTATAGACTGTGTCCATGAGGAAAATAACTGTGGGGCCAAGAGGCAAATCATTATTATAAAACTGGGAGGGATGAATACAGATTTAAGCTACCTCTGCTGTGGCCAGTATGATTACTGATTATGAGTTTCATCTTAATACTTTTTCATAGATCTGCAGTTGTGATGGTCCATATTTATATGCATTTTTGAGGTGCCCCATAAACCTAAAAAGTAACTGTTTATAGGAGTCCATGATTCATGATGGTAATGAAACTTTATTCAATTTCAGATCTATCATCGCTTGGATAAGAACTGTTGTGGATTCAAACCACGTAAAGAGGATTCCTGTGTCCAGAAAGGGCTAAATCAGCAATGTGATGACCAAGACAACATAGCTTTGACTCACATTATTCAGAGAAAGAATGACCCAAGGCATTTGGTTTTTATACATAATAAAGGTTTCTTTGACAGAAGTGAAGATAATCTGGATTTCAAAATATTACAAGGCATTAATGAGTAAGTTCTTTTTCTAGTAAAGGCATTTCAGATTTAAAATATGGTCCACACAATAGCAATAGCCTTCTATGCCGCTTCATAGTGCTTTACAGCATTCTCTGAATGGTTTACAAATGTCAGCATATTGTCCCCAACTATCTGGGTCCTCATTTTACTGACCTCAGAAAGATGGAGGGCTGAATCAGGATTGAATTCCTGGTAATGTATAGGGTCAGCCTGCAATACTGCATTCTAACCACGGCATGTTCACAATTGCTTTACAATGGAATAACCCCATGATTTATAAAATATATAAGAGCTGTTCCTGTAGCAGGGATAGCACAGTATGCCCCTTAATCCTGGCTGTGATATGGACCTGCTTGATTCCCAATATCTATTCAGATATCAGATATTCAAAATAATTAATATTGCAGCACTCATGAAAAACTTCAAGAGTTTTTAAATATAAATGGGCAGCAGGGGATAAAATTAAAGAGCTGTGTAGCATTTAATACATGAAGAGAGATTGAATGTCTTGAAAATTCACAGATATAAGAAGACATAGTTACCCTTGCCAGATCTTTTTCCTGAGGTGTCTCTGTGTATTATGTTTAGTCACTCCCCTTTGCTGTCTTTGTTGACCATATGATGGCAGATTTTTCTACAAAGTGCTTCTTAACCTTGTCCCTGTATTCATTTTACTTTGTTTTTTAAAAATCGGGAAATCTTTCACCGATGTTACTATTTTACTACTGGCTTCTCATTCCCCATTAGATTTACCTGCATTATATAGACTGCCCCAAACTTGCCTCATTTATGTATGGTCATAATTTCACTACTGCAAATGAAATAGCAATGTGGTACTTAAATTAAATTGCATGGGTTTATTCAATTTCAGGTTCCCTGAATCTGCCATTTCTGTGCTGAAAAGTCACCATTTACGGGAAAAACTGCTTCAGTCATTGTTCCTGGACAGAATTTTTTGGGATAGTCAAGGAGGGCGCCAAGGCATTGAAAAGTTGATTGATGTTGTAGAGCAGAGAGCCAAAATACTTCTCACCTACATTAATGCTCACGGAGCAAAAGTATATCCAATGAATGAATGAGTTTGAAATCATTAAAGAGAGAGACATACTGATGAAAAATTTCTTGATATATTTATGTTGTAATTCTATATACTTGGCTGAATGCAAATTCAATGAGGTTTATGAGCTTATACATTTACTCTGACAAACATCAAACATACATGAATTAATTATAAGATTTCACATTTTAAAAATACATGTTGCTCTTCATATTTTTTTTTAAAATAGATGTTGCTAATGGAATCCCGAGGTGTTTTTGTTTTATAAAAGCATTCTTATCTCCATGGTCATATGTATTCATATATTTGTATTCAGACATTGGTGCAAATAAGACTGGTTTTGCCTATTCCTCCTATGCTAATCTCCAGTTACCTGAAAATGGTACATCGACTTTGCAGGATCCTGCTGAATAGAATGAGTTTTAATATGGGGACAGAGATGATCCCTAAAAATCCCTAAAGATTTTCCTCTGCTTGTTTGATTTTATTGGGAATAAAATAAAACAATTGGAGAGAACATTACACTTATGGCAAAAATTGCAACTCTCTATTAATTTCACTGAAATGGTTCTGAAATGGTTCTTATGATAGTTACAAATACTTGCTTAATTAAAATGCAAATATAGTAGGGGTTTTGCTTTTTCCCAATGAAAATAATTGACCTCAATTAGTGCTGACATTTAAATTCAGCTCTAATATTGTTTAGTAAACTCATTAAATTCTTTCTTGTAATTACAAGAATGTTGTTAAATTTATAAACATATTGTCAACCTCCAGCTTGATTATCCAAATAAAAGTCCAGGATTATTTTCATCTCAACATTGTGCCAAGAGCATGATTTGTTCTGAAGTCAAGATTCTATTGTACTGTTGAACTAGCAATAAAGTCAAGGAGATGAGTTAAAGAAGGTGCTATGCAGTATGAATGCTGATATTGCACAACAGTCCAATTGATCCCTAGAGCCCAACTTAACAAATAGAATCTCATATCAGTTACTTGTGGGACAGAGCCTCTGAATGTCACCAGGATATCCCAGCAATTCCACTACCACTGTCCTGAGATCTTGGTTGATACCACACCCAATCCCAAATGGGCACAGCTCCAAAAGGGAACCCCAATATCCAACAAGGTCTCAGTACTGAACTGTTTTCAATCAAACTTCAGGCAGAGCTACAGTGCCGAGATGGCATTGGTCATGCTTGTGGATGACCTCTGGATAAGCTGGGATGATAGTGTATCCATCCTGTCCCTTCTGGATTGACTGTCAGCTTTCACTATAATCAACTACAATATCCTTCTGGACCAGCTTTGGGGTTGGGAGTGGGAGGCATTGTTTATGATGTTTTTCCTCTTTTGTCAGCAGTTGCTTGTGGGAGAGGGAAGGAAAGGAAAAGAAGTCTAATCCTAGGACTCTGTGATATTGGTGCGTCAGGGAGTTGGTGTCTCAATATTGTTTTTTAATATCTACATTAAATTTCTGGAAGAGGTTATTTGATGACATGGGTGCAATATCCTCAGTATATTGATGATACCAGTTGTATATCACTACTGGCTGATCAGACAATACAATTTTAGTGCTCTTGTACCTAGAGTCTGTAAGAGTCTAGTTAATAAGATGGAGCGACCATGGGTTTTGGTAGATCTGGATCTGGTGAAGTGTCATCTTTGATTCTTGAAGGGGTAGCATTCCCCTTGGACAGAGCTTGTGCAGAATTTGGGGGCCTTCTGGACTTATAGATGCAGTTCAAGGAACAGGTGGCTGCTGTGGCTAGAGAGTCATTGAATAAATTCATTTTATGAACCACTTGTACCCATTCCTGAATCATGAATCCTGTTTACTGTCACTCGTGCCGTGGTCACTTTCCACTTTGCTTACTGCAACACAGTCTACATGGGCTGCCCTTTAATAACCAGAAGTTATAATTCAGTCTAGAATGTGGTAGCATATTTAAAATTCTGGTTATCATTTTTAAAACCCTATATAGTATGGGGAAAGCTTATATGGAAGATTGTCTCCCTTTGAGGGTATCTAATTGTCTACTAGCTCAGATATGGTAGAGGTACTTCAGATGTCCTTTCCCTTAAATGTTGTCATCTAGGAAGTGTGCCTTCTCTGTAGCTGCCCCTGCCTGCGGGATACCCATTCTCCTGAAATCCAACTAATCCTAACCCTTTTAACAACAAGAACTGAACCCAAGGTTGTGTTAAATTAGGTTGGAGCCCAACAAATGTGAATGTTCTGAGAGAGAACTGAAGAAGCTTCTTGGATGAGAAGCAAAACATTTTCAAAGAAAAAAACCCAAGAAAGTCCAGTTGCCTTTTGAAAAAGCACCTTTGGAAGAATCATGATCTGGATGATTGAGAACCTCCATAGACCTTTGGAGAATTTGTCTCTTTATTTGACAGAGTGCAATTCATCTTAGGACTGATGTTAATTGAATTGTCTGTTTGACTAGTTGGCTGTGAAGTCAGTGAATATCTAGAAGGGCTTGTCTGCTCACTCATTTAGATAAATGTTATACCAAAAACACCTGTAGATGTACCAGCTTATTTTTTCTGTTCTTTACCGCAGCTATGCAACCTGCTTCTGATTCACAGATTCTTATTCACTATCACCAGATTGACAGTGTTAAACAGGTTTTTTTTGAGGAATAAGAGCTACTTACAAAATATACATATTAGGAAATTTAATTGTGATAGAAAAAAAGAGATGTAGCAAACAAAATGAATGTGGCATGTTTTTTCATCCTATTTGTGGGGTATGTTTAGCTTTCAAAATGTTCAAACATAGACATTTCCATTCTCAGATCACTTAATATGAATGAGTTATTTGCATACACACATTCATGCCTGTGTTCAATCTTCTGAATTTACTTTTAACCAATTATATATTTTGTGAGGAACTAGGTTGATCTGTATTTGTATTAATCTCTCTCTGTCTCTGACTCTCTCTCTCTTCTGTATCTATATTTATTCCTTCTTTCTCAACATCAGTTATCATTTTAATGAGCTAATATTTTGTAATTAATATACTGAAGGAAGAATAAGAAGCCAATATAGTTCCAAGACATCTTCATCATATTCCTAAATATTAATACACCTACATATTTTTAAGTTCCACTTGCAAGGAAGAAAATTATGCAGCATTATTACAATGCAGCTCAACTATTTGTTAATTCAATGGCCTCATTATTTTGTCTGGGGTTTGGAATAGACATCCTCACACCCAAGATTAAAGTTGACAATCCTGAAATAAATTTAGTGATATAATAAAATGGAATGGTTAGTATCATGAATGTTTCCTTGTACTGCAATAATTTTGGAAGTATTTTATTGGAAGAAGCTCAGTCTCTGCATTAAACTCCCCATGCACACATAAGAGGCACTGAACTGGGTCTTCTGAATACATACAAATTAAAACAAATTTGATTTCACTGAGCCAAACACAGCTGGCATGATTGCACAGGCATCCACAGCCTTGATGACATCAAAATATGAAAGAACTTTTATTGCAACATTATACACAAATACATAAGGGAGGAGTTTGTGTTGTGACAAGGCAATGTCTTCTAAGCAAGTTATAGTAATTTACTTTCATTAGAAAGCACTAAAGTATGATGAATTAATCCATATTGAGAGACATATTATTATTTACAATTTTATTTTATAAAATCCTAGCAGTTTTTAAAAAGCTCTCAAATACAGAGGGGATTATCAAATTATATGTTAATAGTCCAGCTGCTTTTCTTCTGTGTTCCTCAAAGATTTCAAAACAATTCTGAAAAAGGCTCAGACTTCAGAAACAGTTAAGTGTGAATGCAATGCAGACATACAAAAGACTCAAAGATATTTGGCACTTTACTGTTAAAAATTGCTGAAGGCTGCTTTTCTCTGAACTACTCTAAACATCTGAGTATTTTTGGAAGGGAACAAGCCACGTGAGAAGAGTAAATGGTACATTTAGAAACATGGGAAGCTGCCTTACACTGATTCAGACCATTGATCAATTTGACAAGTATTTTTCACATAGACATTAGCATGCCAGAATTTCAGGGACAAGTTGCCCGAAAGTCTTCTCTGGAATTGCCAGAAATTGAAACCAGGAGCCTTCTGCATGCAAACTTAAAAACATCTCCCAATCTTTATGGATCAATAATTACATCCTTCATGCTGCTCTATGAATTCTTAACCTAGACAAAAGTATTATTAGGCCAAGCTGCAGAATAGTGACTACTTCTACATTGTTAGGGCAATCAGGTAAGACATCTTGCTAAAGAGGCAGAGAATATATATTCACATCTTGAGGTGTGGGTATGATAATACAGAAATAGCAATAAACAGGTTCACAAAACATTGATAATCCTTGCTGTTGCTGAGTTATTATTAACTGTATTTATTATTCCAACCATTGTGGCTGTTAAAGCAATCATAGAATAATATTTTCAAAAATTACTGAATTCATAGGAAAGTTAATTGCACACTGAAATGTATGAATCCATAACCTGAAACATTCATGTGCATTTTATCCTAGTATAAATTTATCCTAGTATAAAAAACTGATAATGATTTATGAAATGTTTGAACATTCATATTCTAATTAGGAGACCTCCATAGCCATATTCCCAAGGAGTTGGAACAGTGTTCATTTCTTCTAAGCTAAAGAGATTTTTAACAATTTGAATGGCTCTTTTTGGCATTCCCAATAAGCCTCTAGAAAGAATTTCTATTATAACAGTTGTAATTATATTAAAATTACTCAACAATATACAATCCTTCCTTTTTCTACTGAGATTACAGCAGAGCTCAAAAGGAACTAAGAAACAGTAGAGCTTTCAGTTACCATTGACCCAACATTTCTTCTTTATGAAAATTGGCTCCATTACAACACTACAACTCCTTTGATTAGCACCATCATCAACAAAATATATAATCAATATACTTAGCTTGTATAAAATTTCACCACATACATGCACACACTATCAGACTGATACACATGTATAGCATTTTGATGTTATTTGTCATGTCAGTGTTTTTTGCATAGAGAATGAATTTGGGTTCTCAAACTTTTCTTTCTTCTTGCACTTTATAAAAAGGATTGTTTTGTTTGTTAGTGAATAAAAACACTGTGATGCCCATAAGACTGGAAAATAGGAAGTAAAGCCAAATCTTTGATCATACTCAAAAACTACTAAAGGACATTTAACTTGCTGTTTATTAAGATACATTTTTAAAAAAAATTATAATATTTACTTTTTTCTTTCTTTTTAAAAGCATCCAATAAAACTTTTTTCTCCTCCACGGCATCAGCATCTCAATAATGACAGAGATCTCGAAAACTAATTTATGAGTCTATTTTTCACAAATATGTCTCAGTTATCCATTGATAAAGATTTTGTTCCAGTCTGCATTATTAGATTGAGTTTTATATGCTTTCCCTTTAATTATAATCTTTATTTGTTTCTGATGATTTGTAGTTTCCAACCTTCAAAATCCCAGTTTATCACGTTGTTTTAATTTTGAATGCAAAAACATGGATAGTTTTCTCATAGAAAGAATTCTTATACTTAATTTCAAAATGTTATTAAAATCATCTGGACCCTTAATCCATTTATAAATTTCTAAAATCAACACTGTTTTGTTTTAATTCTGAATTTTTAAATCCTTAAAAGAAAAAAAAAATCTTCTGAAAAGTTCTGAAAAAAAACTTACCCAGTGAATA